CCAACTCAAAAAAAAAAAAAAGGGTGCACTTGGGCCCTGGGCCTTGGAGCCCACAGTGATGTGTGCATTTGTGTTATGAAGGTGACAGCAATCTGCGAGCCCCCAGCCCCATGGGAGCTGCCCTGTGGTGACTTTATAGAACAGTCTCCAAGAGGGAGTTGGACTCAACTCCAGCTTAGCTAGGCAAAGCCAAGCTAAGAATATCCCTGTGCTGCTGCCCAAGTTGTTCTCTTGGGGATGTAGACTCTTCAGCCCTGCCTTTACTTGACCCTCAAGCCATGGTCTCATTGCCAAGGTTGTCTTCCTGGAAAGGCGGGTATTGGAGCTGGAGAAGGACACCGCAGCTACTGGTGAGCAGCACAGTCGACTGAGGCAGGAGAACCTGCAGCTGGTACACAGGTGAGCCTGGTGAGAGCTTGGGGTCTGGGGCTTGGGCCTCCTGTGCTCATCTGTCTACATGTTACTCCCACCCCTCTTTGCTTCTCTTTATCCCACAAGGCAGGGTCTTGGCCACAACACAGAGGTGGGGCTCTCACCTGGAGCTGCCATTCATTCTGGCTGTGGGAGCCAGCTGCGGGCGTTGTGCTGTGGTCACCTGAGTGTAGCTAGTGTGCTGCAGGCAAACTGCCCTGAGGCTCTAACTTGGCATTCTCCTCTGGAAAATGTCTCTGGAACCCTAGACACACAGGGCCCTGAGGAGAAAGTGGGGAGGGCATCACCTTTACTTCCAGGAGCAGCTGGGCCACAGCCAGGCAGAGGAGGCGCTCTGACAGCTGGCAAACACTCGCCCCAGCGCCTGACCCCAGGCCCATGGGAAGAGCAGATTTACACCACAGGAAATGCTGGCTCGTTGCACTGGTGGTGTCAGCACCCAAACCTCTTGGGGCCATCTTTGGAGTACTTGAGAGTCCTCACAGGACCAAGCTGATGTCCACGTGCAACCAGTTGACCGTCAATATTGGGGCTTCCGACGTGTGACTCCATGTCGAGAACCCATCCTGAGGAAATAGTTCCAGCCATAGGCACTCATCCCTGGATGGATGAGGCTGCTTTGCTCCGGGACAGTTGCTCATTTCACCCACGTGATCTCGTCCATCCTTACACTCCTCCCGGGAGGCAGGAACTGCTACTGTCTGCATTTCCCAGGTGAGATGACCAAGGCTCAGTGAGCTGAGGTGACTGCCCAGAGCCTCAGAGGCAGCATATGGGCTGCTGGGGGTGAGGGACAGGCCCAGGTCTGTGCCTCCAGAGCCCTCTGGAGTACAATGTGGCCATGCAGCGGCTTGGCCTGTCCTTGAAGAATGCGGATTATAGAAGCTGCTCAGCTGCAGAGGTGAAGCAAATGGACACACCAAATGCATGATGGGTGCACGGTCTGACCACGACTGGCAAGAGCACTGTGGAGGCAGGAGTGTGGCTACTGGCTTGAGCAGAGGGAGTGTGAGCTGCTTTCCCACTCCTGTTTGCAGACTTCGCTTAGAATACTGGACAGTGTTCAGTGTTTTTCAAACCATGCCTGCTGTGTCATCACATAGCCAATTTCCTGGAGTGTTTCCTGTGCAGAGTAAGGTGAGCTTGGCCATGTAGAGCCAGGCGCTGTGAGGACACAGCCTTTTATGGGCCATGACAGTGGGGAGGCCCGAGATGCGTTGTGGAGTCTACGGAAGAGGCTCTTCTTGGTGCCTCTGTCCTCACCAGGCCGCCTGAGCCACATCCTGGCTCCTCCACAGACTCTCCTCAGGCAAGGGCTCTGTCCCTGGGAGCCTCAGTTTCCTCATTACTACCTGAGGAGGCAGACTGCAGTCTCTGAGCAGCAAGTAGGCCTGTGACAGCAGGACATTCATGTTATGACCCAGGGACCGTGAAGCCCAGAGTTCTCATCCTACATGACACTTACATTTGTGACCTGTCCTTTATTGTCAGGAGATCAGTCTGCCCATGAGCACAGGTAATTAGAATGCATCGTGTTCTTGTAGGCCTGGCCCACCCTGCTCATTGTTTTAGTAAAGTCATGTCCTCCTGTGGAGTGGAGACTCCGGGTTGAGGGCTGCCTGTTCTCAAGACCCCCACCTGGTTCCAGTGGTGTGTTGAGTGTGTGCCCATTTCTAGAGACCACTGCTGCTGTCTCCCTCTTGTGTCAGGAAGCTGGATGGGCCACTAGGCCCCTTCCTCGAGCTGACTATTGGCGATTTTGCTGTGGTCTGGTGTGCGTTTGTCAGCTCCTTAGGGATGTAACATTGGGTCACACTCCCACCTCGCTGTGCCTGCCAGCCCTGCCCAGGCCCAGCCAGGTGCAGTTCTCGTGGGTATTCTGGTGTTCATGCGGCGCTCTTAACAGGCTTTTGCTGCCGTGTCTTGATGTTTGCCCTTTTAAATAGGACCTACCCACTCTCTTTCCTGCTGCACTACTTCCCCATCAGCCGAGGAGTCTCCTGCGCTTTTCCCTTATTTTCTGGAGCCTACACCCTCTGCTTCTGTGCTGACTCGTCTTCTGAGGAAGACATCCTCTGATGGTTGCCTGGAAAAGGGTGCATAGGAGCCAAATCCTTGGCAACCTGCATGTCTGAAAATATGTTTATTTCCTACCCCTGCCTTGATCTTTAACTGGACATAAAATTGCAGGTCAGAAATGGGGCTCCCTGAGAATACAGAGACTTGCCCCAGGCCTTTTGAGCCCAGCTGTGACCCAGTGGCCAGTGCTGCTGGCTGTTGCTATGCTCTGTACTTATATTCCCACCTCTAACACCTTGGACCTTTTATTGTGTTCTGTGCTGTGCATCTGGTTTTCAGGCTGTAAGTCTAGAAAACGTGTCCTTTGGCTTCTGGAAGATTTCCAGAATTCTTTCCCTGTAGCCTCTTAGTCTCTTCTTCATCTGTCTTCTCTTAGTCACACAGCAAACCTCCTGAGCCTTTCCTCCTTTTTTTAATTTTAAGTTTTACATTCTTTCTGTTCTTTTTTTCTATGCAATATCCTCACTTTTCTCTTTCAACTCTTTTATTAAATTTTTTAAGTTGTTCCCCTTATGCTCCCAGTTTCTAGAAGTTATTTGTCTCGTGGATGTGGTGTCTGAGCTCTCCAAGGATGTTGGAAGTGGGGCTTTTCCCTGATGTTTCCTGCCTGATGTGTTTCCTTGAGGTCCTTTGTGTTTGCTTTGGCCACTTTGTGTTAAACGCTTTTCTGAGGCCAGGCGCAGTGGCTCACACTTATAATCCCGCACTTTGGAAGGCCAAGGCAAGAGGATATTCTGAGCTCAGGGGTTTGAGACCAGCCTGGGCAACTTGGCAAGACCTCGTCTCTATAATAAATAAATAAATAAACAGTCAGGTATGGTAGTACATGCCTGTGGTTCCAGCTACTTGGAAGGCTGTAGCGGAAGGATCACCTGAGCCCAGCAGTTTGAGGCTGTGGTGGTTGTGAGCGTGCTATTGCACTCCAGCCTGGGCAACAGAGTGAGACTCTGACTCAAAAACAAAAACAAAACAAAAAAAACTTTCCTGAGATGGCAAAGGAGACCAGAGGTTCTTTGTGCACAGACAGGCTCGGTACAGGGCCTGTGCCCTCCTCTTTGGGATCACCAATTCCTGTCTCCTGCAAGTGGTTGCAATGGTCCAAGAAGGGGCCAGGGTCTCAGGGTCCCCATGGGTCTTGCTGACACCTGTGCTACCTCTGCTGGGAGGTGACTTGGGTGAGGCTGGTCTGCGGATCCAGTTCCTCAGCCTGGAGGGGACTGGAAGCAGCGTGGACATCCCTCTAGCCTTGGCTCCATCATAGCCTCCGTGCCCAGATGTGCTCAGCAGCCAGCACCAGACTTGGTTTGGGTGTGATGTGGACCCGGCACCCCCAGACACCTCATGTGCCCTATAGGGTGGCGTGTCGTGAGCTATTTGTGCTGCAGCTGAAGCCCTGCCTTTCCCCTCGCACGATGATGGACCTGGGTGTTCAGCTGTCACATTCCACATGTTGAATCAGATATTCACTTTCTGGAAAGTGCTGTGGCCCTTGGGCCCAATGCTCTCTGGCTCCTCCCTGAGTCCCACATGTCTGGGCTCTAAGCCTGGCTTACCCTGTGTAGTGGCGGTAGGTAGAGCAGCTGCTAGTGTCAGCACAGAGACCCCAGGACCAGTCACCTGGTGGGCTTGGGCCCTCTGGGCACTCCTGTCCACATGCCACAAACAGGCGCTTCCTGTGGGTATCAGCTGGACTGGAGGTGCAGTGGAGACTGTTCCTGCTACCCCAGGTGCCTTCAGTGTAGAGGGCCGAGGTCATTTGGTGGGCATGTTCCCTGATTCAGAACTGCCCTACCACAGCTCTGGGACTCCCTTCCTGTCCCTCCTCCCAGGTAGGAGCAGGTCCTCTCAAGGTCCTGATGCAGCTTCTGGGCACAGGTGAAGAAAAGCCTGACAGCCTGAGCCACCGTACCTCGGGACCCTTGAGACACACTCATCTCCTCCCCTTTGCCTTTCCAGAGCCAATGCCTTGGAGGAGCAGTTGAAGGAGCAAGAGCTGAGAGCCTGTGAGATGGTCCTGGAAGAGACACGGAGGCAGAAGGAGCTCTTGTGCAAGATGGAGAGGGAAAAGAGCATCGAGATCGAGAACCTGCAGGCCAGGTAGGGCAGGGCCTTCCTTGACAGCCGGCTTTCACCGCAGCCCTGCCTACCCGGAAAGGCGCTGGGTCTGGGGAGAAATTTAATTGTAGAAAAGGGAACAGCCTATGGGAAAAAGCCTTACAACTCTCCTAAAGGCCACAAAGTATCTGAGTTCGAAGACTGAACCTATGTGACTATTAGTTTCTCCGTATCTGTGTCTGATTGATATATCCCAGTCAGAATGTCAGTCTTTCTTGGAAAGAAACTTGACAAAGTTACTTTTATGCTCATCTGGAGATAGACTCCTTGGATGAGTCAGGAGAAGGAGAAAACAGAACCAGGAAGAGGATTATCTATACTATCTGTTAAAATGTGTCCTAGGCCGGGCATGGGGGCCTCACTCCTGTCATCCCAGCACTTTGGGAGACCAAGGTGAGAGAATGACCTGAGCTGGGGGTTCGAGACCAACCTGGGCAACTTAGTGAGACCTTGTCCCTACAATAAATAAAAAATTTAGTCGGGTGTGGTACCACGAGCCTATAGTTCAAGCTACCTGGAAGGCTGAGGTGGAAGGATCGCCTGAGCCCAGCAGGTCAAGGCTGCGGTAGCTGTGAGCATGCCCCTGAACTCCAGCCTGGGTGACAGAGTGAGACTCTGACTCAGAAAAAAAAAAAAAAAGTGTCATAAAGGCACAAAAATCAAAGCAGCCTCTTGCTACTTAAGTTACCCAGCAGTTCTGCATCTAAGAACTTATCTAGCTATAGATACTGGTGTGTGTATAATTACTAGTATTCTTGCAAGAGATGGTTCTTCAAACATGTTTGTAAAAGGAGAAACCTTCAGATAACTCAAATGTCTATTACCAGATGAGTCTAGTCCATTCTGTGAAGCAGGAACAGTTCCTTCTGGAATTGAGGACACCCAAAGGGCCTGTGCTGCCCCTGGGTCCCATCTCATACCAAATGCTATGTGAGTACATGTCAGGGTTAACTGGAAGGGACAGCAGGGTGACAGGATGGTGAGGACAACTAGATTATGGAAAGGAACCAAGCTTCTTGGAGGAATGGCTGCTTCTGGGGCTGGGACAGGGAAAATGAAGGCTGAGCCTGGGGCATCTCATAGTACCAGAAAGTGAGGAAGTGCTCACACTAAAACAAGACACATGCACACTGATGGGGTGCATCAGCGGGACACCGGCCCGCTGAAAGAACTCCCAGTGGCCAGTGCTGGGACAATTTGAGCACCAAGCTAATGAGTATGCTAGTGTGTGCTGGCTACTCAGGGGGCTAAAACGGAAGGATGGCCTGAGCCCAGGAGGTTGAGGCTGTGGTGAGCCGTGATCGTGCCACTGCACTGCAGCTGGGCGACAGAGTGAGACCTGACTTAAAAAATAAATAGGAAAGAAACACCATCATGGGATATAGAAAAGCTTTGCTGCAGAGCACTTGGGTAGGTGCCTGAGGCCTGGCCATGGTCATTTCAGGGTGTCTGTGGTCATGAAGCCACTCCTGGCAAGGCTTCTTGGAGACCCTGGGCCACCCTTGCCCTGTGGAGGCACATTCCCGGGAGCCAGTCCCAGCCTTGCTCTTGTGTTCTAGGCTGCAGCAGCTGGATGAAGAGAACAGTGAGCTACGGTCCTGCGCACCCTGTCTGAAGGCCAATATTGAGCGTCTGGAGGAGGTGAGCTGCCAGCCTTGAGTGGTGTCCAGCAGGGTCCCACCCCAGCACTGTGCTGAGCAAGGGCTTCCCTCCATCCCTACTCTTCACACCGACACCAGAGTCAGTGGGGGCTGAGTCAGGGTCTCCAAAGCTGGGCAGCTTCAGGGCAGCTGAGGGGTGCTATGGTGTGCAGCTGCCGACCAGAAGCTCAGCTGGGAAGAGCAGGATGACAGCCCCTGGGCCATGCTGTGCTTTGTGTGAGGGAACCAGACCAGCTTGGGGCCCAGGCCGCTATTTGTTGCTGGAAGACACTGGGCCCTGCCCCACCTCTGGCTTCCCCGACCCAATTCAGGATCCATAGGACCCCGGGGTCCACTCTGAGATTGACCCAAGGGTTTGAATCTAGGGTCCTCCAAGGGGCAAATGTTGGTAGATTCCCCAGTGCCCCTGCAGCAGAGAGGCTGTGCCCTGGGGCTCCCATGCCCCACTGTCCACTGAGAGCACCCCTGCTTGCCAAGTGTCCCTGGAAAGCTCCAAATCCATAGGATATTCACAGAGCACTTGGGCTGTGGCTCCTGTGAACCAGAGGAGCCAGGCTGGAGTCACCCACAGCCACTGGGTTAGGTCTGTCTGTCCAGAGATCCTTCCTGCATCCCCTGCAAGCACTCCGAACATGGGGTCACCATGTCCTCATTGGTGGACCAAAGGAGCATCTGGGGATACAGATGGCCGGGTCAGGCTGTGTGAGTGGTGGGCAGGTGACCTGTATTCTTGCAGCAGCTTCATTTTTGCAGGAGAAGCAGAAGTTGCTGGATGAGATTGAAGAGTTGATGCAGCAGCTCAGTGAGGAGACAGAGAATAAGCGAAAGATAGGGGACAGACTGAGCCATGAGCGCCACCAGTTCCAGAGGGACAAGGAGGCAACACAGGAGGTGAGCATACACCCAGGTGGGCTGTTCCCCTTCCCACGTCCAGCCTGTTCATGCTCCCCCGATGGGCGCAGCCTGCTTCCTGTAGGATACAACCAGAGCCTCTCCCCTAAGACCCAGGCTTTCTGCTGTCACTGGGTGTGGCTGCCATGCACAGTAGCCTTCAGGAAGCGTGTGTCATCTTCCTGAGGGACAGTGGCCAGACCGAGCCCAAAGCTCTAAAGGTGGGTGGTGGTGGCCAGCTGGGTGGCCCAGACCCCTGCTCACCCTGCGGTTGCCTGCAGCTTATTGAAGACCTGCGCAAGCAGCTGGAGCATCTGCAGCTGTTCAAGCTGGAGACCGAGCAGCGGCGGGGCCGCAGCAGCAGCATGGGCTTGCAGGAGTACCACAGCCGTGCCAGGGAGAGTGAGCTGGAGCAGGAGGTCCGCAGGCTGAAGCAGGTGCGGCGCGCATGGGCCACAGGCCCCCTCACACCCTGCAGAGCTTCCCGAAGGTGGTGGGAAGAGGGCATCTGGCAGGTGGCATCCGAGCTGGCAGGCTTCCCCAGCCAGTCCTTGCCTAGCTCGGCCCCTGTTAGGGGCCACAGCCTAGCAGTGACATTGCCATGTCCTCCCAGGACAACCGTAATCTGAAGGAGCAGAATGAGGAGCTGAACGGCCAGATCATAACCCTCAGCATCCAGGGTGCCAAGAGCCTCTTCTCCACTGCCTTCTCTGAGTCCCTGGCTGCAGAGATCAGCTCAGTCTCCCGAGATGAGGTGATACATCCCTCAGTCTGTGCATTGTGGTCTGTACATGGGCTGTGCAGTATGACCTGTATGCTGTGGCCTGTGTGCTGTGGTCCATGAGCTGTGTACTGTGCATTGTGACCTGTGGTCTGAATACTGCATGCCTGAATACTGCCTGTAGCCCATGTGCTATGGTGTATGCGTTGTGGCCTGTGGCCTGCAGTCTGTGTGTTATGGCCCATGTACTGTGGTCTGGGTACTCGCCTGTGGCCCATGCACTGTGGCCTCTGATCTGTGCATTGTCAGTGTGGTCTGTGGCCTAGTGGCCCATATGTTGTGGTCTGTACAATGTGACCTGTGGCCCATTCACTGTGGCCTGTGGTCTGTGCACAGTCACTGATCTGTGTGCTGTGGCCTGTAGCCAGTGGATTGTAGTCTGTGTGCTATCTTTTTGTTGTTGTTTTGAGTTGGAGTCTCACTCTGTCACCCAGGCTGGAGTGCAGTAGCACTCTCACAGCCACCACAGCCTTGACCTGGAGGGTTCAGGTGATCCTTCTGCCTCAGCATTCCAAGTAGCTGGAACCACAGGCACGTGCCACCATGCCTGGCTACTTTTTTTATTTATTGTAGAAACGAGGTCTCACCATGTTGCTCAGGCTGGTCTCAAGCCCCTGAGTTCAAGCAATTCTCTTGCCTCTGCCTCCCAAAGTGCTGGGATTACAGGTGTGAGCCACTGCAGCCGGCTTTGTGTGCCATCTTTGACCCTTGCTGTCCCTACAGCTCATGGAAGCGATTCAGAAGCAGGAAGAGATCAACTTCCGCCTGCAGGACTATATCGACAGGATCATTGTGGCTATCATGGAGACCAATCCATCCATCCTGGAGGTCAAGTAGAGGCAGGAAGGCCCATCCTGGCTGTCTTCAGGACTCCACAAACCCTGGAGCAGCCCCGTCATTCCATGAGGCGCCCAAACCAGCAGTTCTCACAGCTGACAGAGCCCAGAGCATGCAGGGAGCCCTCATGCAGCTGGGCTGGGGCCAGTAATGTCAAGGGCTGCCAAAGGGGCAGGGGGCATGGGGCAGAGGGAGTGGAGAAGGAAGGGAGAGAGGGAAGCCCCTGGGACTGGGGCCCACAGCGGGCAAGGGGCATGGCTGGCCTTCTGTCAGCACTGACCTTCCTGGGGGTCTGGGGCTTGATCTTCCTGAGGGTCTGGGGCTTCCCAGTGCCATGTCAACCCAGCCCCTCCTTCTGCTCAGCAGTGGTGGGCTCGAGAGTCTCTCTGTGCAGAGATGTGGAATAGTTTCTCAAATTAGGGTGAGCCCCTCTGTGGCCTCCTCGTGGCAGACCCTCTTCCTGCTGTCTGGCCCAACTGCAAAGAAAGGAAGAAAACATCTCACCGGGCATGCTATTGCCCATGCTTGCTATACAAGCACTCTGGTGCCATGCCACCTGCGCCTGGCCGTCCCTGGATGGCAGAGAGGCCCCGGACCCTCATATCGAATGTGTTGGTGTGGGAAGGACAGTCAGGCGAGCCTGGTGTGTCCCCCATAGCTCTTCCTGAGCTGCTCAGGCCATCGCCCAACCAGATGTGGCCCCGTCAGTCCAGCTTTGGGCCCAGGGGCCGTGTTCATTCTTGTGGCCCTACCCTTCCTGCAGTAACCCTTGGGGAATCTGACCCTCCTGGGGGGCCAGGCAAGAGCCCACTGAGACCCTTCACTCTGAAATCAGGACTTGCGATTCTGACTATGGAACTCTCCCTGGATGGATGGCTGCCACCAGCTCCCCCTGACTCCCAGATGCAGGTGCTGCTCTCCACAGGTGTGGCCTGATCTGCCTCCCAGTGTCCACACCCTTTCCATGCACTTCCCAGGCCAGAGTCCAAATGGATAGAGCCCATTTTCTTTTGGGTGTCTCACTTAGAAATCGTGTTCTTCCCTAGGGTGCATTTTGCAGGAGGGTGAGGGCAGGGAAGCCTCTTCAAGGACTCCAGGAGCAGAGAGGGAGCCTTCTTGCCATGCACCTGCATGTCCTGGCGCTTGTACTACCTGGGAGTAGCAGTGTCACCTCACAGGGGCTGTGATCCCGTCACTGAGACTGGCCCCCCGCTGTGTGTGTGTGTGCCATCCTGTGTCCTCCACCCTCCCCGTGGCCCACCTTTTACACCAAGATGTGAGATGTCACTTCGTATTGTACATTTGGGGAAAGCCTTGGCTGTAAAAATCAGTGTAAACTTGGAGAAGAGATTTTTCTATCATGTAGAATAGGTATTTTTTATAGATTGAAGGTTGTTCAATTTTTTAATACTTTCAAGAGAGAAAACTGTGCATACACGAAATATATATATATATGTGTATAATATATAAATACTGGCGCCCTGCCTTTTTGTGCCCAGGTTCAGCCCTGGTGCCACAGGCCATGTCCTGTTCCCACTGACGCTCAGTGGTGCTGGAACTATATGTAGGAGCTGCCAGGAGACAGTGTGGAAAGCATTCATGGGTACCCACCTGCCACTGCTCCTGCGTTAACTCTGAGAAATGTCTCTTTCTGCCTGAATGTGGGGGGAGTAAGGTGGGGGGAGGCACAGATTAAAGCTTTACTGCATATGCAGAGGCCGGCTCCTTCCTCCAAGAGGCAGGGAAGTCTTGTGGGTCTGGTCTGGCCTCTTCCAAGCATCTGGGGCCATCGGTCATCTGAGCTCAGAATACAGACCTCTGCTCTGTGGCTTGGTCAGGCCAAGACTGCACTGAGGCTCCAGGACTGCTCTTCTAGGCTGGGCCACCAGCAGAGTCAGCAGCTTTCTGGGTGGGGTCAGGATCCTAAAGCCCCACCACACAGCCCTCACATACCCGTCATGGTAGGACACAGACCCAAGTGCAGCCTAAGAGGGCTGCTGTGAGTCAGCACCGAGGGCAGTGGGGGTCTGAACATTGTATCTCTGGGTCACATCCCACGTTGGGAAAGAGCCACCAGCATATCATCTGAGACCAGGAAACGGGCAGGGGCATGTGGGTGGTGGCAGAGGGTATCCCCTAGGAGGGCCATGCACAGAGCACCCAATAGTAAAAGCACAGGCCCAGGACAAGAATGGGCTCCAACAGTCATGGGAGGGCAGGGCCAGGCAGCCCAGAGTTCAGGCCCACTAGTCACAGGGACGCCACAAAGAAGGTTCTGAATAGAAGTGACCACGTCTAATTAGAAAGGGATTGTTAGCTACAAGTCCTCAAAACAAACCTGACCACCCAGCCCAGGTGCCCTGGAGCAGTGGACTACAGTGGGTGTAGTCCTCACCCCCACACCTGGCTGCCTGCCTGCCTGCCAGTCTTGCTCTCAGACACAAATGGGTAAGCCTGGCCCACTCAGCCCCAGTTGCTGCCCACAGACCTGTGACTGGAGGAGAACACGGCCTGGCCTGCCTGTCCTGGGGCTGGGGGGGCGGGCGTGCAGAAGGGCTCAAGGTCACTAGGGTCGGGCCTAGGAGTCCTGGATACCCATCCTTAAGCCCCAGTCTTTCGAGTAGCTGGAACTACAGGTGTGTACCATCACATCCAGCTAACTTTTCATTATAGAGATGAGGTCTTGTCAAGTTGCCCAGGCTGATCTCAAACCCCTGGGCTCAGGCAATCCTCTCACCTTTGCCTCCCAAAGTGCAGGGATTACAGGCTTGAGCCACTGTGCCCAGCTCCACTCTGCTGTATTAAACATGTGAGGCCTGTCGAGAGTCCTATTGGCCCCACCAGGACGATGCTGAGGTCGCTGCATGGGCCTTCTGGGTCTCCAGCCCAAGGGAGTCTTAGTCCTGTTTGGATCAGGAGGCCAGGGGATGACACGTCCTTGTAAATGGGGAAGCATTCCCAGGGAAGGCTGCTGGAGAGCTCCCTGCAAGACAGGGCCAGAAGTGGCCAGTAGAGCAGGCTGATAGACGTTCCCCAAGGAGGCTGCACCCCCAGAAGGCCCAGGCATGTCCCTCCTGGATGGGGACGCTCCACCCCAACCATGCAGTGGCCTGGCCACAGGGCCTGCCACCCTCTCAAGAAGAACCCCATCTTGGTTGGCTGACACTGATGGAAGAGCACAAACACATCTCTGCCCACCAAATTAGGAGCGGCTCTGCCCCATGGGAAGAAGAGTTATGAAGTGGGTCTGGCCCCTCAGGCCGCCTGTCTGCCCCTGCTCAAGGGCAAGCCCGTGAAGGTGTCCCTCCACACCCTTGTGGCCACGTGGACAGTACTCCCAGCCCCTCTGCCTGCTGGGAATCTGGAGAGGGAGGCCCAGAGAAGGGCAGGGGTGTTTTTCACCTATGAGGTGTGTTCTGTGCTCTTTGGGCCAGGCATATGTGGCTCATATGGCAGGTGACCACAGGGTCCTTCCATAAAATCTGTGCATGGGGCCAGGGTGCATGAGTCGGCCCACCTGCAACCTCCATCCCTCCCACCCGCCTCCCGGGTGCACTTCCCATCTGACCCTAGCTTCACAGCTGTTTGGGGGTCTGTTTTGTTTGCTGTTGTGTCCCTAAATCCTAGAAAGCATCAAGCACTGAGTTGGCCGGAGTAAGACTTCCCAGGGATGCTTGAGAGACACCTCCTTCCTCTGCGTGGCTCTCCCCACCCTCTCCTCCTTCAGGTGGAATTCACACCTCTCTCCTTGGGTGTTCTGAGCTGTCCTCGGGCCAGGCTCAGTCAATCATCTGGATAATCCAGAGTCTCTTCCGTGTCGTCACTCAAAATTTATGCCTAGGCCGGGTGCAGTGGCTCATGCCTGTAATTCCAACACTTTGGGAGGCCAAGGTTAGATGATTGCCTGAGCCCACAGATTCAAGACCAGCCTGGACCTCATCTCTAAAATAAATCAAAAAATTAGCCAGGTGTGGTGGCACGTGCCTGTAGTTACAGCTACTTGGAAGGTTGAGGCAGAAGGATTGCCTGAGCCCAGCAGGTAGAGGCTGCGGTTGCTGAGAGCATGCCACTGCACTCCAGGCTGGACAACAGAGTGAGACCCAACTCAAAAAACAAAACTCATGCCTTTGTGCCTGACTCTAGTGACAAGAAAGTTAAGATGATCGCAGGGGGACTTAACGGATGCAGGAAAGATCCCTCCTCTCCCTACCTATTCCCCCCAGCTCCCGCCTCAGGCGGTATATCCAAGATCATCTTGAAGGCTCCTCCTGAGCCCCCCTTCTGGTGAGTGGGCTTTTTCCCCTGACAGGGCTTGGCCCCTCCCTGGGGAGGGCCAGGATGCTCTGCCTCCTCTTCACCCCACACAGGGCCTGGCTCGGCAACGTGCTGGCAGGAACATGTGCTGGCAGGTCCACAGGCTTCTCTGGTTGGGAGGTTGGAGGGTCATGAACCCCTTCCCAGCTGGGCCACTGGTCCTGGCCAGGAAGTCACACCATCCCTGACTCTCACAACCACCCAGGCAGCACCCAGGGAAGGACTGGGGAAGGCCGAGAGCCTGCAGTCCCTGAGCCTTCACTGAGAGCCCTTGACTGTCCTGTCCTGTGGACATGGTGGGCAGTCACCCTTCATGCAGGTGAGGAAGCCCGAGAGGACAGCAGCTGAGGGCCTTGACCAAGTTGCAGAGAGGAGGGCCAGCTCTGCAGCCCTCAGTGCCCCCACTGGGCAGCCTGCTGGCCTAGAGGGGGTGCAGTTTCTGCCCTTGGGGTACCCTGGCAGACACATCCGGTTTTCCAGCCCAGCCCCGCAGAGGGGGCAACAGACCGGGGAGGTATTCAAGGAAAAGGGATGAAGTCTCTTGGCCAGAAGTCTCCCGGGACACATGCACATCTGCCACTCCAGCACTCAGGAAGCCAGCTTCTACCCAGACTGCGGCTAAAGGCTGGATCCTCCACGCAGGGACAAGTGTCCTGCAGCACCTGGGCTTATGATACGCGTGCTGGGCTCGCTGGCATTCCTGGAGCACGAATGTCCTCTAGAGAACTAGCCCTGGCTCTGCGGGTCTTGCCACAATGGACGCAGTTTCCAGGAACAAACCTCGCCGACCTCCCACGCGTGGACTCTGCTCCATCTCGCCACAGAGTGGGCCACAAGCGAATGCAACTGCCCAGTCTTGCCTCCGGTCCCCCTCCCCTGCACAGCCGGTGCCTTCTCCCCCCTCAACGCCGGAGTCTGGCGGCCCTGGCACCCACTCCTGTTGCCTGCGATAAACTTGACACCAAAACCCCTTCCTGAGCGCCGACCTGGGGGCACCTACCAACGCGCGGAGTAGCTGTGCGGGCAGTGACCTCAGGCCGGCGGGAGCAAACCCAGAGGCCGGCTGCGCCTGAGCTCTCACGGGCGAACGGTATGGCCCCAGAGGTCGCCAGACCACGCGGCTTTCTCCCTGCCAGGTCTGGGCAGGACGCTCTGTGGACAGCGTCGCACTTGACCCCAGCGTGGCCCGTCTAGCAGGCCCCTGTGCCACGGAGGTCGCGGACTTGAGGTGCGCGCAGGTGACACCGAGTGGCGAGGCTGAACCTCACAACTTGCACCATAGCGCTGCGAGGGGAAGCCGAAAAGCAAGATGCGAGATGGCGCAGACGGTTGGGGCGGTTCCGGGAAGAGCGAAGGGGTCCCCAGGGCCGTGGTCGCGGCGAGGCCGGGGCGGAATCACTAGGACCGGATCAAGTAGCCGGTCGGGCCGGAGCCCGCGGGTTGCGGACGCGGCACCCGCGCAGGGAAAGACCCGCCCCGTGCTGCTCGCGAGGCCTTCTGGGAGCTGTAGTCTCAGCTCCCAGGCACTCTACCGTCCCCGCTCCGTGAAAAACCCGCAGCCCAGCGCCGCCCGAAGACTACAACTCCCGGCCTGCATCG